GGCATATTGTGCAGTGACACACGAGGAAATCAGATGATCCAAGAAAAAATTGCCTGCATGAGGTACTAGTACAAAATAAATAAAATGCAATACTTTTTTTTATCTTGTTGAACAATATTTTGAAAAATGTCTTGCTGAAACTTCCAAAAAGAACCCCAAGAATCCCTGAAATAGCTAATCCCATAAGTTCTTGGCCCATTTTTTGCAATTACATGTCTTGCTTCAAGTCCAATTTATGATACCAGCAAGATGAAACGTGCAGCAATCAGACCAGAAAATGCGGATTGCAATTTGTGTAGATTGAGTCTTGTATACACGCTGTGAAAACAACCCTATCCATTTTCAAGGACGTTTCCATTTTCCACTTCATTGTTAGTGTCCTTTAGAGTTTATTACAATGGATTATGTTCACAAATTGTACTGCACTACATGTTAGTCTGTGTAAGATAAATTCTGTGTTCGCTGTACGTATGCCGTTATTGCTGAATGATAACTGAAAAAGCAAAATAAGCAATTATGCTGGTATACTGTACACTTACCTTGACACCAATCTACGAACAGTGAACACTGGAAGAATCTACATATTAATGAAGTGTAGGCCTCGGTTATTACCCTCAACATTGCTGATACTAAATGTTCTACATTTTTCGAAATTTCAAAATTTTGCTGTGAATTAGGTCTCCGATGTACACATCTGCTTGTGTGTTCCAAATTTAAAAAGTGACACACATACTTGCTAAGCAATGCACAAAATGCCTGGTGTAGTGCTTCTCTTAACCACTTCGCGCCGGGATTATTTTGACATGACCGGACCCAGGCACAGGATTGTTTTCACGAACCTCGATGCCAGACGGGTTCAGGCCATCATCTGCTGGTAGCACACCCTGATATTTCCGGCCTCGCTCGCTGCGAGCGGGCCACAGACAGATATTTCCAGCCATGCTCGTTGCGCGTTTATCCATCGTCCATTCCATATACCGCAAAACCTTTGCATATTTACACGCATCCGATGTGAACTGGTTAAACTGACATGAAAATATAACCCATCTTTCACAAACTGCAGCCATCATTAAGGTGTGTGCTTTTGCTCAACAGGGGTACGCATGAGTTAGGGCCGAGTCCATTCGAATAATTGAACATATTTGAATATTTGACATTCCATTCGATCGAATATTCAAAAGTTCGGTTATGCCATCATGAAGTTTTCATCATAATAATTTCAACACATTTACAACAGAAACGCAACTGGGAATTTAGAAAAAAAAACAAGGAAATTTCAAACCACCGAAGACTTTGTACAGTGGTTTTTTAATTTGTAATGGAATTCATGAGAAGCAAAAAACAACGAAATCAGCGGATCCGAGGAAAAGTTGCATGCCTGTTACAATCAATATGTAATATTATTGTTACAAAAAATGCTAACGTTGCACATTCGTGAATTTTATTTGTCAAAAAACTATTTCCATATTCTTGGATGGATTCTAAATTTTATTGTTGGGCATATATCCATCAATGCCTGTAAGTGTCTGGCAACAACTTGAAATACTGTTATGCTTTCAGAATGCAAATCTGTTATTTATAAGAAAAATTTAGGATCAGAAGTAGGACATGTTTTTTTGGACACGCAGTACAACGCACAAGTACATGTGCATGAGTACATGTATACATGGGCCTACCCTAACAAAACAATGAGCCAGGCACTGGTGCCTGTGTCCTTGAGGGTATAATGTGCATTGAGTGTTCAGTCAGGTGTGTTGGAGATTAGACCTTAGTATTAACCCCCCTCGGGCATGTAGCCCATCACCTGAGCCAAGGCCCAGTTGAGGGCAGCAGGAACAGAACACTGAATGCCCGGGCACAGGCTGCATATTGGAAACATGGCTCTAGACCTTTGCATTCAAGTAGCCCCAAGATGGTGTATTTTAAAGCAATTGCAGGAATGTTTATTACATGCGCATAATGGGCGCCATGCGCCAACAAAAGAGGGCGCCCTTTTACTACGTACACTCTGTGGTACATGGTACGGCTGCGCGTTGCGGCAAAATTGCAGTCAGGCAAGATGGCGTCGGCCGGTCACCCCCAACTGTGCTTTCTTTGCCGGTGAGGGGAGACTTGTGAACGGAGTGGATATGTGAGGATTACAGTCGGAATTCGGGATATTTTCCAACCATTCACCACTTTTGTCCAAACAAAAAGAGAAGTGGTTTTCACTTTTCAATCAAATTTTGTAGTGTGGGTGCATTTTAAAATTACTCAAGAGAATGATTTGACACTCTGTGCGTGACAACTCTAAGTCAAAACTCATGCAAGTTGATTCTGTCAGTAATTTGTGTGTCTTCGTTTAATTTCACCCTCTGTAACACATTAGTCCCCACACTGCCCGTAACCGCACTGCCAATTCAAGAGGTCAACTCGGTGCAACCATGATTACTGGTTCCCAGGCACTGCAAACGGAACAGTGAACACTGTAATTTTGATATGGCTGTAGTGAATCCATTTTATAATTGGCTTGGTTCTCCTGTGTTTTATTTCTCCAATGGTTCTCCTAGCTCTCTGAAGTGATTATAAGAACAACTTTGGTTGAAACTGGTGACGGTGTGGTGGTGACAATCTGCTCAAAAACAATAAACCATTTTCAGGTACTATTTTGTGAAAACGTTGTGTCAAAGTTGGATGTACATGTTAATAGCTGTCTGTGATCGTGTGTGTTAAACAAACATGTATGTGGAATTTGTCGTTATGGAATACACCTGGACCATTGTCGAGGGCGTGAGCCTGACCTGGGGAGGTGACGTCACACTACATGTATTTCAGCGTAGTACTTCCTGTACTGCCTGAAACCGGCCAAGCACTCAATGGTTTTAAGCATTCTTCAATGAATAAACAATGTAAAACAGTGTAGTGTACTGTAGTGGTAATGGTTCATGTGCAAAAAACTTACATGTATGTAAGTTAACCAGATTGTCTGGCTTCTTGTATCAATATGATACATAATTGTTTCGTATATATATTGTCCATTCGTTGATCATGGAATGCTAACTTACAGCGTGCACTGAGAACCAGCGGGTTCTGCCAACTTCCGCCCAGCTGGGTTCATACCGTGGCCAGCCTTGTTGCAAGTCTGGATGTTGTTAATGTTATTACTTAGAGTGTTACAATACATGGTTTTCATAATGGATGCCAGGCTAGCTTAGGACCCCCCTCCCCCCCCCCCCCCAACACAGTGCAAGGACATGGGAGTAATGAACCTTGATGTAGCCCGGCAACCAGTCAGTCCTAGTGAATATTTATACACATCATGTTCTACTTACATGTATTGGGGGGGGGGGGGGGGGTTGACACTGCACTGGTTTAACATGAAGTCAATTATGTATGTGTTTTGTTTTGCTTTTATCTGATAACTTGTGTCATGTACAATGGTGCCAGATACATGGTTATTGGTACTGTTAAGCCTGATGTACATGCGTACTAAAAAAAACACAATGAATTAATCAATCCATTATGGTTATTTCCCACTTACATGTATGTACTTCCCAATTATGTACATGTACTTCCCATTTTCATTTTAATAATAAAGTACAATTCAATTCTAAAGAAATTCAAACCTACATGTACATGTATGTGCCCAAACTATGTGTTATACTTGGAAAAACTTTAATAAAAAAAACCACTTAGAATAAAACCTAACAACGTAGATAAAGAGTTGCCTCATCATTTTTGTCGGTGAGTCCTCATCAGGCAAAGAATGTGCTTGTCGTCAGGCCTGCCGACGTGACAATCTAATTTAGAAAGACCGATTTAGACAGCCCGATAATATAGTTCTCTACCTTTAAATATCATCTGGCAGATTGGTGTAGGTTTATTTTTCTTTCCCCATCACAAGTGTAATGGCTCATTAACCTTTGGACAACAAGATAAAAAGGGGAACATGGTTGCAGCGGCTCAGCAGCTGACTCGTTCCGACCCAAACTAGGTTATCCCATCAATGATTAACGCAGACAGGGCACGGGAGGCCGCTACAGCATCCATGCATAGCCCCCGCCAAGGTTAATATTTTACATACAATCACCAAGGAGCCTATTGACATTAAAAATGAGCCATCTGTGTGAGCAGCTCACAAAAAACACTTGAGCGGTTCCGCCGACGACATTTTCTGCTGGTAGGGATTAGGCTGTGTAAGCATTTTATCATGCACGTGAGGATCCTGCAAAATCTGCTCTAGTATAGGCCACGTTTACACTGGGCTATTTGTATAATCATGATTTATAGTGAGACTTGGTGCTTTCTGCGGGCTAATTTGGACGACCAACAATTACATTCTTAAAATACGGAATGAGAGGGCTAAAACAGATCAGGGGATTAAGCAGCTGAATATCACGTAAAAGATGTACAGACTGCGCTCTCTAATATTTTTGACTTTTTTTTCTCTCAAAGAATGTAAACTTGTGTTTAATTTTAATGAGGAAATAAACCCTACTTTTTCTAATAAGAGTGTCTGCAACCCTATAAATATAAAGGCTTTTATTTTTATGACAAAAAGATCCGCCATGCAAGTAGACTGGTACCCTATCCCTACATTATCTATTCTTGTAGAGGCCGGAAACAGTCTGCCCAGCGATAACTGAATTATTGTCAGTCCGCCAAAAATAAAAAAGAGATTCAAAATCGGTAAAGCAATTATTCCATATGGGTCAATTTTGTTGTACTCAAATGTCTCATTCAACAGTGGTGAGAAACTTTTGTGTTGCTGGGAAAACTGGAGTTTCAAAAGAAAATAAAAATATTTTTCAGGCTGAAAAGTCAATAAAGCACAGATGGTCCACATTTATCGAAATCTTCTTGTCGTGTCTTTGGACTTGGGTGCAGTCCTAGAAAGTAGACCCTTGTGTCCTAATATTTCAACCAGGCAGGTCTTGAAGACTGAGGAATGTGTACAAGATCAATTGCTAGGATATTGTATGTTGTGAGACACAAGGGTTTAGTTGGAAATTTACGCTTACCTCAAAGGGGCGAATCTCGTCCTTCTTCAAGCAAAGAAAATGTTTGTCCAGGAAGAACTCAACAGGGTAGTGGTTACTGTTGGACAGGCCGACACGGTCAACCAAGATTTTAAAGTTCTGCAACAAGGAAAAAGACAAAAAACCTTAATGTTTCATCAAGCACCAAGTACCTTTTTGCATATGGTCAGATGTGCCAATATCAAGAAAATTACAATACCTTTCACCACTTAAACACAATAACCCTCTCTGGGTATGTCAATAACTCAGTTCTAAACTGGACACACTTAATATTATTCTTGTTCTGATTTACACCTTAAGAATTCAAGTTGAGTTAAATTCATTGATTTTTTGCTTAAATTAGAACAAAGAAATTGATTGGAGCGGGGTTTGAACCTGGGCAATTCCACACCAAAGTGGACATGACACCAAAAAATTCAAATACAAGTGACTTAAACAAATTTGGCATCAAATGAAAGCTAAAAGTCTATATTTTCAAGATTTGAAGTCGGAATTTTATTTTTTATACATTTCGGTACCAAAAAATAGGATTATGTAATAATCCTGTTTTAATCCTAAAAATGTGATTAATAGTGATATGAAAGTATTCTACCAATAGACACACAAAAATATGTACTAATGCCATCAGTTTCTGTCATGAGAAAGTATTGGTCTTGAAAAACTGACTAAAACTTGTTTGTAACATTTTGCGTAACTTGTTTCGCTTCAGTGACTTCTAATATTTCAGCCTTCGAAAATGTCCTTCCGTTACCAAAAAAATACATATTTTTAATTTATTTTTAAAACTTGCAGTATGAATGCATTGAAAGTTATTGTGCAAAGCAAGTTTAGGTAGGCCTTCAATATGACATTATAACTGACACTGCTGTACTTCCCGTTTTTTAATTACAATTAATTAAATCAGGTCCTTCCGTTACCAAATTGGTAACGGAAGGACGGCAACGGAAGGACAAATCGTATTTTTATCAAATGTTACGACATTTGCGCTCATGTTTGAAAAATGAAAATCACTGCAAAAACATGCATGTGTAATGAGCATTGAAAGGACATTCATGTGACCCACCTTCACAAAAGCGGGAAAAGCAGGGCACGGTGTTTATTACAAAGGAAGGCACAGGCATGTACAACATGTACAACGTACATGTACATATATGCCGATGTACCAGTACTTGTAAATGTATGGAGTTGTTGCAGAAAATCAAATCATAAAGTTGCTGCCATCAGCATTCATGGACAATAGAGAAAGATACAAATTCTGTGAAGCCATTCCCGAAGCAAATTAAGTCAAAAATGAGATGGCAGAAAGTACCGGTACTTTGGGGCACTTTCATTCAATTTACATGTGTAAGACATGTGAGGTGCAATCTTTGACAAATTATGCCCAAGTTAACAATTTCAGTTTGGATGTTTATAAATTAATTGTTACTACTCTAAATCATTGTAATATGATTTCAAACATTGATTTTAGAGTTCAATTAAAAGCAACACCTAACTGAAGCCATTAGTTCTACCGGTAGATGTTTTTACCTTAAATGTACATGTAGGCTGGTCGCCCCCCCCCCCCCCCCTTTAGGTAAACCTTTGAACCTACCGGTATTATTATTAAAAGTTGTTGGTGAACATGTAACCAATATACTCAAGAGTTCAAATACTGTGTATTTAAACTTTTAAGGATTGAGGTGATGGGTTTGAAGTCTATTTCTGTAGTAGTCCTCTGTTCGTGAATTATGTGTTGTGGGTTGTTTTCGTTTTTCTTTTGTTATCATTAATTAGCAGGCTTCTATCTTTATCTCAATAGTTTCTTGGGTATAATTATTTATGCCAGTCTGCATATTGTTGATTTCACATTCAGTTACACATTTCAGCAATTTGTTTCACTTGTATAATTAGTGTAAATTCACATTTTGTTCATGCTATAATTGAGTAAACCTTTTGTCCTTCCGTTACCGTCCTTCCGTTACCAAATTATAATCTGCTTAAAACATTGTAATTATATTACTGAAACACTTAAAGTCAAATGAAAGGCGGTATAGTATAGATAAAGCGTCAGGGATTCCATTTCCTACCTTTAAAATATAATTGCCCCATAAAATTCACAGAGTTTACGCAAAACGCGAGTAAGTTGGAAAACCCTTGTCCGTTTTACCGTCCTTCCGTTACCGACCTAATTAATATTCATAATTCATAAACGGGAGGCATTCATGCCCCCATAAAGTGTGGAAAATGAAAGTAGCATTATAGCAATACAATTGTGACATTTGTTTGCTGTAACTATGAACAGTGTCTGTGATACACACATTTGAAATTTTGTTTAATGAGTGAAAACGTCCTTCCGTTACCGTGGAATTGCCCACCTGCGACCTCCGGATTGCCGTTCCGGTGCTCTACCAACTGAGCTATCCAGCCCTAATGTTGGCAGTTCCCATTTTGTCAATGTCTGTGCTCAAGGGTGCTGTGTTCAAACCCAAACGTTCAGTGAGCAGTCTAAAAATGAAGAGAAACCACTGATCACTATTTCCATCCTTAACATCAAGTGATTTTGTTTTTTTACAGTCAAGCAAATACTGTTCACCAGGATTAAGCAAACTGCATTCAATGTAAATTTGAGGAACTCTCAATAAGATTTGGCCAGACTCATTAACTCAAGACTCGGGAAGCGTGTCTGGCCAGAGCCAAATTTCTGGTCAGTTGGAGTTCTTCTCAGCTCAGGACACAGCGAACTCAGTCTTGGACTCGGACTAGAGGTTTTAACGACTTGATTCTGGGTCTGAATTAAATCATTAAATATCGATGATTCAGGATTCTTTTTCTATAATCTTCCTGATATCACTGGCCTATTCACACAACTAACAATGAACAAATAAGACACAGTGCCCAACATGGCCTTCACAGATCCTACACCTATGTAACATGATAGACAGCAAGTGCCTGAAATTTATCACCCAGGATCACTGAGAACATGAGCAAGCATTGCCGCCCCAGGGTTAGCCAGACGGACCCCCTGGGCATTGCATGAAGGGTACAAAGGTCACCGAAGGGAGGGCAATTAAAATATCACACCTTACACCTGCAACAGTTTTTTTTTTTACAACACATAGATCAAGATCAGGCTGAGGCACACAATGTACCTGTATTAAACCAAACCAGCACAGTTCATTTATTGCAAACAAAATAAAATTTGCAGTTCAAACACACCTTTGGACAGTTGTAAGTTAAATCATATTTTGTCGGCTGTGTGCGGATCCAGCTGCAATGATTGAACAGTGTCCATGTTGCCAATTGAACTTTCGTATCTCTTTGTTTGCTGATCAATTTATCACATCAATGCAAACATAAGCAAACAATAGCAGCTTGTGTTATAATAACATGTGTATACTGTATACAATAGGTTTCATTTTCAGTAATGCAAAAAAAACAGCAAGTTTAAGTCCATCCCTCAATGTGAATCCCATCTGATTTGTGGATTCAAATAAGAAAACTTCAAACTTTTAATAGGCAAATTCTGCTACCATCAATTTCAACAGTGACGGGCTTTTTGAAAGACCTGCTGATGATGTTTAAATTCTTCCTTAATTTTTTTCACACCTGTTTGTGTGTCTGTAGTTATTCATCTGATAGATTTCTGTTGACTACTGCACAAAATCAATTTGCTTGACGTCCTTGAAAGTTTTTGTTTTTAAGGAACCATTTTAGCACAAGTGTTGTACAATGTATGTGTGCAAAAGCAGTGATTTTTTTTTTTTACAAAATACTAGTCCAGACTTTTAAATAGGCCAATCCTGTAAAAGTTTGAGAGAAGCCAAATTATACTCCAAAGACCCCAGAGTCCAAAATCAAAATACCCCCCAGTAGACCATAGGCCTACCCTGGCTAAAGCCTCCTCACCCCTGGCCCTCTCCACCCCCTCTCCCCCACCCCAGAGGGAAACCAAAAGTGTGACTCAGAATGTCTTTCTGGGGTCTGGGTAGTCTAAACACCTCACTTTATCATTACCAGGTACCCATCCTGTGCGATGGTTTCACCAGTCAAGGTCACAAGCTGGGGCCGATCAATCAGCACACTGTTGCCAAAGAAAGAGAGGAAAGCCCAGCTTTTCATTTTCAAATAAACTTGCTCTCTTTGCCCAGGAGGGGCAAAAAAAAAATGATGTCTGGGAATTGGATGGCTTTTCAGACAGTGTTGAATAGCTGTGCCCTTGAAGTTGAATGATCAGGCATGTAACGTGTGTGGAAGTTGTGGATTACTTTAATGATCGCCTGGCCTACAAACAACATGGCCTACAATTATCATGGACTACAAATGTCATCATAAAATGTTACAACCAACTGACAGTTCTAACAACCCTAACAGTTTTACCGTATGTTTGTTTTTTAAACAATGAGTGGCCATAACAGGACTGAATTTTTAAGTAAAGAATCCATTTATTAAATGGTATTTTCGAGCTTACATGTACATCATCAGATTAGAAAAGCAAGCTTAAACTGAGAAACATTTAGCTGTAATTTGTAAACAGCTGGAGACAATTTCTGCGAAGAGGCTCGTAATAAGATTACTTCAGAGCCGCTATATGAGCTATGGTTTCTCCATTATGTTCTGACAAACTCTTGATCTCATTCCATGAATAATTATTGAACTTTGACCCTTTGACTTTTCCCCTGAAAGTACCGGGACTTGTTATTCTTCTCTGCGCATGGATGTAACTGCGAACTAGCCGCAAACAAACCTCAGAATCAGCGACTTCCCATAAACACTGACCCCTTAACCTTTTTTCTCTCACCGGCAAAAAGTGCTTACTCAAGCTGCAGGGGTGGCTATGCACTTTCTACAATGTAGGCAGGGAGAGTCAGGGAGCTAGATCCCATGGGAAAATGGGCGTGCATTTCTACATGCAACTCATGTACCACTGCATTTACAGGCACTTCGAATTACAAAGTCTACAGAAGGAAATTATACAGTTCTACAATATAGTTCATTTTGCCAAAAAAAATGATAAGCAAACTCCATTTAGCTTCATTTACCCAAATTCTAGTTTGTCAAATTCAGAAGCTGTGGACTTGCATGTAACAACTTCAATTATATTTTCCTTTTGGTTGAACAAAATATCTTGAAACGGTGACATGAAAAATAAGGAAAACATTAACAAACCATTCAAGAAAAGGAAACAATCACACGTATTACAGTTCATCTCTTCGAAACAAATAAGTGCATGCATAATGATAATGGGGCTCTCACAGCACACTGTCAATTAATATGCGCACATCAACAGCGACGACCATCTTCAGCACCATCAATATTTATTTGCTGGGGCAAGCCTGCACCCTGCCCACGCTATTCCTCCACCTCCATGCTCCACCACTGACAAGCACCAACCCAGCAGAAAGCTCTCATATATGAGGCTATTTATAGAGATCTGTCAGCGTTTGTGTGTTCACGGACAGAACTTTACAAGGTAAAATCTATGAAACATACAGCTGAGACCCATACAGGGTCATGCTAATCAGTGGCAGTGTAGTGATTTCATCTGTGCAGACACATTTCACACACATGCATTGGAAACTGGAACTTGTGTGATAATCTGACCAGCAAATTCTCACAAGTTGTCGCTGGTCAAGGTCACCCTGTGAATATTTGAATTCTTATTATACTTTTCTTAACACTGTGAGATTATCACCTGCATTGTACTGGTAGTTATAAATCATATTGTCTTGACATGTACGTGCACTGGTGTTTATATGTAATACATGTACATGTACACGCAGGTAGGCATACACCGCGTTATGGGGAAGTTTTTTATTGTTAGGCAAATTAGGACCGAGTTATGGGGACTTTCGGCTGTCCCCATAGCATTTTCGGTCCCCACAAATACCTTGCACAGACGAGTGTAAGTCCCCACAATTACGGAGCAAGAATTTACATGTTTGTTTATAATGTACACATGTAAATCGAGGATTTTCTTTTGTTCCTCTTCCCTTTTCCTTTGTTTGTACCCTAACTTTTTTGCAACAGCTCTCATTGGTTTTGTACACGTTTTCCAACCGAGGAGTCCTTGATTCAGTTTCTGTCCTCGATTCATTGATGATGTTGCATGTGTGTGTCCACGATTTACACCATAAACACGCGAAATGTACATCATACTGAATTTTATGTAATATATTTTTTACTTTTTTTTGTAATACAAATGCTGGGAGTGCTAACTTATACATTCCAGAAAACCCTTCCAAAATTTGAACATTCTAACCACTCTTAAATTATCAGGTTTTCACAAAACATCAGAAGACCCTAACTTACTACAATACATCCCAATGTTTTATACATTCTAAAATTCATCACCCATCATTTTGTAAAATGCCTATGTGCTTTTTTTCCTGTCAGCCGCAACACCATCCCGGATTTGTCAGGACACAAACAAGCTTGCTCCCAAAGCCATCAATATTTCAGCCAATCTCTAGCAGGTGAACAGACCCAGCTTTATCCGAGCAACATCCCCGGGAGGATGACACTTGACCCATTTGATAGAGCATCTACTTGCCTACATCTGTGGGCTTGTTGGTGGGGGGAGGGGAGATGGTGTTATTACACACCAAACACACTCTGTCCGCCTGATGACACTGTGCAGGTACATGTATGTGCTGTACTGCAAAACAGCCTAGCAGCAATCTTTGGATATTGTACCTGCCGAAAACCCATTCTCCTTCAAATCCAGGCGAATGATGCATCAATCATGGGGTGAAATCGGACTCTCTGGCTGAGCAACGAGGAGAACTGATGAGAGACAGGCTAACAGATGCTTTGGGGCTCTCAGTCCAGATAGCCACTAGGGGGGTGGGGCTACTGGATACTAGGGCGCTGTGGTGATGATGATTATGGGGCCGATGACAAGCCACGCAAGCCAACCGGGCCAGCAATGGGGCAAAGCTTCCCTCCCCAGTGAATCAATTTCCGTGACTACAAAAAAAAAAGGGTCGTAGGTCAAAAGGCACTTGAAAAGGCCGAGAACAGACTCAGGTGTGGAAAGATTATAATCTTCATGAGTTACAATCTGGACTGCACACAGAGGGCTGAACTTTTAAAAATACAACTCAATTTTATGATGGAATACTCCCAAACAAATTGAGTTGTTCAAATTAGGTTTTGCCCTTCACCGACGTTTTTAAACACTGTATACTCAGTGTGTTACCTCCTGAGTGAAAGGGTTCGAGTCCCACCCGAGTGATTTTTTTCCAACTTTCACTCGGGAGGTAACACACTGAGTATACAGTGTTTAAAAACGTCGGTGAAGGGCAAAACCTAATTTGAACAACTCAATTTGTTTGGGAGTATTTCCTTCCTCAAAGTCAAAGCATCATATTGCATCATACGTACATCATTTACATGTTCACAATATTGATAATGTGCATTCAAAACTATCCATGGAATGAATTTTCATCATTTTGATGATTGTGCCCTAAATGCCATGCATGACATACAACTCAAGATTCAGTTACCATATTAAACAGTTTCCATGTTTCCTTTTTTATTATTTCAAATTAGATTTAATTTCCGATATAAATTTAAAAAATAAAATTCAAAATTCTGGTCTGCAAAAAAAACAAAACCAACTTGACCCTGTTCCCACATTCATTCCAAAAGTTTTGATTTTGGTCCGCTTTGTAATTTCTCCTAGTAAACTAATCATTCAAAGCTGGTAAAGAGTTTACGTACTTGCTCAAGCCTCGTTCCTCACCAATGGCTCTTCACCCTGCATAGCCAATTGGCTAAACAGACCCCAAGTGGGTCAACGGAGAGATGTCAAATAAGTCCAAGTCCCCGAATTGCCAGGAGGGAAACCGTCCAGCGGCTGCTAAAGTTGACTAGGTCAATTTCACCCACTTGCCCTGGTTAGCCGGCTGATATTTCACTCCAGGTGAAGACATATCTAGGGTGCACAATTAGCCCCAACAGAATGTGCCGATGGGGAGAAAGCAGGCCAGGGTTGGCTGTCTGCAGGTCACTACGGATGATTTGCGAGGTCAACCCCGTTATAATTTTATTCCAATCTTCATTATTCTGAGGGTACTTTTGTGGTTCAAGCCATTCATTATTGGAAGGGTCGTGAATGCCATGCCCGCAATTAAACCAGTTCAAGGTTATTTTTTTGAAATATTTGAATAGTGGGGTTTGAGAAGCTTCACAAAATGTTGTAGGATGAAACTTTGGAAGAAAGCTTGTTAAGGAAACAAGACTAGCCTTAGTACGTCCCAGAGCACACAAAATTGTATTGAATTGGTTCATAACAGCTATTCACTGGAAGTATTTACATGCATGTGGTCTACACAGAGGGCCAGATTTAGCCCATTGGTTGATATTACGGGGTAACCCTACATGATAGCACTGCCTGGCTCACAAGTGACAGTCAGTTAGCGAGTCAGTTAGTATGTCAAACAGGTAAATAGAGGACAATAGGTTGGTCCTCTGACCAGCACAACCTGAAACAGGCAGACTTGTTCTCGGTACATGTAACATTTATAAAATCATTCATGACTCACAGAGTCAATAAGGGCTATTTTGGAGGTGTGGGTACAGTCGACCAAAAGGATCGCAAGGAAGAGTACTTTGCCCTACTTTCCCGGGAAACCTTCACTCTTTTTTAAGGGTTTGCAGGGAAGAGGCAGGAAAAGGAGACTTTTTTTAAATTGCCCAAGTTTCCCCCCTGTCCACTTCTATTAATTTCAAAATTATATTTTTAAACGAGAGATGTTAAAACATATTTTGACTTACCAGGGCTGGCCAGAGGATGTTGCTGGGGCGTGAGCTGTACGGGTCGATGCGTTGTCCCCACACGATGGTCTTCTCTACCAGGAACACCTGATGGGCCTCATCCTGGACACGTAACCACTCACGCTTCTGCCAGTCTAGACCGTCAAACTCCACGTACACCTGCCAAGGAGATGATAGAGACGAAGGGAGGGTTAGGGTTAGGGCTCAAATTAGCATCGCACTGAGCAAGAAAACACAGGGGGAAGTCTAGCCCCCCCCCCCCCCTCAAGTCAGGTTGCTCATTAAGATATAAACCTGCCCATGACGGAGTGTCACCTTGACACCTTTTCCAGTAACCCCTTCAAATCCTAAAGTAAAACACAAGTAGGAATCTGTGCACTTTTGTCCAGAGACCACAAAAACACACAAGGTTGAGGTTGTTTATAGTTTGATGGAAAAGCGACTTCGTGTCCTTGACCAAGTGGTATCTCTAGGAATATCATATCCAAAACAACAGGTGCACCGACAACCTGAGTGCAAGTTCCCCAAACCTGTGAATGGAGATCTCCGGCAGAAGGCCCAGGAAAATCCTGGCAATTCCCCAGACACCTCTGTATGTGGTAACCTGTAATCCCACACTAAACCAAACCCCATCACTTCTCTTCCATACGCTCAGCATTCCCGGTCTCTACTAGTGAAACTATAACCCTCATGCTTAATTATAATTAAGGAGCATTCAGGGTTACACCGCCTGGCTGGCAGAACAAGCCCAACAAGACCAGTCTACATCACTCTGGGCTAATCAGTGCCAAGTTCAAGGATTTGTGTTTTTTTCTTGTTGAGTGGATGGGGCTGCTACAAGTACTGTGCAACCGCACAATGGCAGGCTTTGTGTTGGCGGGGTCACAGCCAGAGGTCATGCTGCCTGTTTGGCTGGGTGATGGGCTGGGCAAGTGGCCTGGCTGCTCTCCTGTTTTGACTTGGGGGATCAGCTCAACAATCCTCGTATTTGTTTTTCTCGCGTGTATCATTTTCTCTTGATAGTGTTTATTATTGGGTGTTTGCCGGGATAAGCTAACCAACCAAAATGAAATGCAACAATCACTGAAATTAATAACATGATGAAGTTATTTTGACTGCAAAACCCAACTAGACAAGATAAATATCAGCCAACTTTCCACCCATGCGCACTTCAAAATTTAGTAACCAGCCAGCACCATGGCAGCATTACCTGCATGTGATAGCCCACCATAGGCGATTGTGCAGTAGCTTACAGATACAGATACAAGATACAAGTAAATCTTACTGAGGTGTATCATTTGAAACAATAAAAGATAAGCACTGAGAAAAACAAATAGTCAACATGAGAAAAACATGACATTCACAGCTTCAACTAGCCATGAGCTGCACTGATTACACCGGTTACGCCTTTTTAATTACATCTGGGTTCTCCCGTCAGTTATGTGAAAACAATTCTCACGATTTGGGCCCAACTGAAAATTTGATATCAAATATAAATATTCCTCATTGAAATTCTTGTGAAAGTGCATGAAAGGTCTCTGCATGTGTTGGACCACAAAAGAGGCTCAGAATTTACTCAAGTATCAAAGTAGCGGGACAAATCCGATTGTCAATGCCTTTCACGTCCCAGACAACAGGCTGGCTTGCAAAACCCACACGTCTCACACCCAAGCACTGCTTCATCTACACACCATTCGGCCACTCAGTCCTAGCTCTTTTTTTTTCCTTTTCAGCCATACAGGCCCATTGAATCTGGATCAATTATGCCGGAGTGCATTCATCTCCCCAAGAATGGGCTCCATTTACGGCCCGCTGCACGACTTGCCGCGCCGCTGCTCCGCGACGCTGAATCGACTGGACTCCTCGTGTTTGTCTATTTGTGGCTAATCCGGAACAACAACTATTCCGAGGGAAATTAAACCGGTAGCGGACATGCCTCCCAGTGCAAAAACACCCACTTCAATGCGGGGCCTGTTTAGATTAGAAATGGCGTGGACGGAGGAACGTCAATTATTTACCCTTAATGACTATTACATAGTAGACCTCCTATGTTGATTTTGTTCATTCAATCGCAAGAAATGCATATGGATCAGTAGAACAATTCAAAACAAAATTTATAATAAACAAACTAAATAAAAAGGGTTAAAAAGGGTCCCGGGACCTTTTTTTCAATAACAATATAAGGATAAGTTCTTCTGCGTAATTTTTATATAAGTTGCTCTACAGTCTGAGATTAAAGGCCAATTTACACATATGAGACCTTGTTGCGCAACAATTTTATGCTTATTTATAAACCAGTTTAAGTGTTCACATTATTTACAACAAAGTCAGGCAACTTATCACTCATCGATTTGTTCAAATTTATAAAAAAAGTTAACGGTACACCACTGCTGTGCAACAAAGTCATGCTTGTGTGTGTCAGTTGGCCTCACTCAGAATATAATTTCATAGCCATTTAAACATGGGGAAATATTAAACACAGGGAAAAAAATTAGTGACCAGCAACATACCATATGTTCATAATTTATTTATACAACATGCTATTTCACCCAGAAACCTTTTTCTGCTGACACAATTTTTCTCTGCAAAATTGTGAAATCAAAATACAACAGGGTCCTGTTTACATGCATACTTTTTATGTTAAGCAGCTCAGTTTCTTGTTGCCAGACCCAGACCCCGTTTCTCTAATCAGGTCAACGGTATCAGGCAGCATACTGAAAAGGCATCACATGGTTGCTCGGGCATTACAGTAATTACTCCTCACCCCAGGTGACGATCGCATTTGATTGAAAATCAGCCCCGTGTCTGGTATTCAGCGCTGCTGCGGTCTGAGACCGTAGTGTTGGCCAGCTAGCTACCTACCACGGAGCGGGGCCCGCGCGCTATGTGTAATGCACGCTGCATCGCATTAGGAATGATTTCATCACGGCCCTGCCCAGCCTTCTCGAGTGGAAAGTACAAGATTATTTGAAGGCCGCCAGGCTATTTATGAGAAATACAATATCTGTAGGAAATGGACTGAGTAATCAAAAACCACAAGACATTATTTTCCTCTTTTTTGTGTGGCTGTACTGCCACATGTACATGAGAGATAGTACATGTATTATTTCAAGGTCCTTTTGTAGTCATAAAGATTTATTACTTGTAAGCTGGTACATATGGTTTAAGGCCAACATATCCCTTGGTAAAATGAAACTGGTAGTTGACAAGGACGCAAAAACAACATTACGCCAAAACAATGAAGGCCAACAGTAAAGTGAAAGGGAAAGACACCTATTCATGCAGTAGAAACTAAACTCTAACACTATAATCCTGAGTGAACAATAGCAATCAACAACGGCACCAAGAAATGTCCAATTCCATTTCCATGAACTTTGCGGTTGGCAGAAAGCCACAGAATCCACAGGGCCTTATTTATTCCACTTTACTGGGCCCAGCGATACTACAAACCACAGTCGGGACAAACAAGGGGGCGAGTTCATCAACCCTAGCCATTCACACACCCTTCTTTTTGGGGTGGGGGGGGGGGGGGGGGGGGGGGGGGATGGGGGCCTAAACCTATCAACAAAATATGTAGGGTTGGTAGTGCTTTCACTGTCTCACCTACAAAAGTCAAAACTATGAGGTACACATGTTATGGCTTCGCAACGTTTCTGGATGCCAGAAATATCCGGTTATTTCCACAAAATATGGGTTGGGCAGGTTCAGGCCATCACAACAGTCATCGACCATGGGCCCCAGAAACTTTACAGTGGTGTATTATTTAGCCCCGGGGTCTTAAAACTGTTTGATTTCCTAGACTTCCTGTGTAATAAGGAACACAACATTAACCCTCCTGACCCTTTTAATCTGAGAACCACAACACAATGAGCGCAGGCGGAAGGCCTTTCATTGCACTCGGATCCCTGTGTGATTGGTTACAAATGTTCCCCAGACACAATCCAATTTCATTTGCTTGCCCGAACCCATTCCAGGATACTTATTCTCTGATATGAATGCTCCTCCATTCATAGGTTCTGGTGTTTAAAGGGAATGTACAACATTTTGCTTTTGCTGCAATTTTCAGAAATAAATGAATTTGGAGGATTAGTATGTTATAGCAAAAATATTGTTCAACTGACTTGTTTCACGTTTGGGGCTTGTTTATGCTGGAAAAACCAAGAAAACCAATCATTTTCTTGTAGTCTGGTTCCCCAACCCCACTTAAGATGAAACGGAGAAACGTAAAGACTTTGGGGAATTGTAAGGTCAAAGAATCACTCTAGCAGGTTTGTACCCCTTCACAGGTGTGTAATCTATTGCAAAGAAAATGCGGAATAACTAAATATGAAAACAGTTTTTGAAAAAGCCAGTGTTTTCCAACGCTGGTCGGTCGACCAGCGTTGGAAAAACACACTTTTTCTTGAAAATGTCAGCACACCAGGAGCCACGATTTTAAAGGATGCTTTAGACCATCAGTCCCTAACAATTCAGTAATTGTTTTTTGTGATAATTTGATCATTTCGTTTTTTGATGTTTGCAAATGATGTATCTTCCCTTTAATGGCTGGGTATATAATGTATGTTAAAAAAAAAAAAAACCAGTTTTTAATAGCTAAATGCTAAAAAACAAATATGGTTTTTAATGGCTTATCATTCCTCACTGGACTTATAATGTAATTGTATGCACTGATCTACACGTTCACCTTTTAAAAAATATTTATATATTGTAATTACTTTATCTTTTTAATGTATACAGCGCCTAAGAGCATATTATGGATTTCGGACGCTATATAAATGTTTATTATTATTATTATAATGCTCGAGCTTTCATAAAAATTAAGTATGGAGCTTGCTGGCACTTAAAATAAATCTGCCAAATGGCATAGACTCCTGTTTTGCTGAACGTTTATATCTTTCTTGCTCCTCCAAAAATGAAACACCGGAGTTAAATTACAGCCTTTGTTGTAAGAGACACAATTTAAAAGCACTTTTTTATGCCCGCATGCAAGAATTGTTCAATTAAAAAAGCCACTAGCATCTCCGAAACTTTTGGAGGATTCTGCAGATCTGGAAGGGTTACTATTCTTCAAACGACCAATAAGATCCCCCCCTCCATCTAAATTATACAAAAGAACTTCTGATGTTGTTTAGTAAGGACTCCACAAGATTACCTGTATTTCTACTAGGCATGAGATTGTAAATATAAAAAAAAGGGTCTGATAATGGGATGAAATCCAAAACCATTACATGATTTTTGAAAATCGTTGACCTTTTCATTTTTTCAAAGTATCCAAAAATCATTTAATAACTGAGACAAAGCATTTTTGTAAATTTTGTGAGAAGTACAATGTTAAGTTCATGAAGGCCGGACTTAATCATTCATTTAATGACGATCTTAGTTTAAAATCTTATAAATTAAAAAAAACTCATCCCCATCTAATAATAACCATTACGAAATCCATTGAAGCTTGACTACAGGTTCTATAAATGCAAATATCCATAACGAGTGGGATTTTTTGTTTTTCAAAGGTGAATGATAGCAAGCCATCATCCTGTTCAATATTTTCCCCAAATATGATTAAAATCTTCAGTAGAGCTCAAGTGATACTGAATAATCTTTTGGTCAAGATAACAAAAAACAATGACAGACCCCAAAACCGCTACAAATGAAAAAAATAAAACTGTATTTAAAAAACAAAATTTAAAATTTTTAGAAAAAAATAAAACCCAATAAAAAAGGGCTGAAACAGATACAGTGACACCGATATGCCCATTCATGCAACAATCAATTTCAAGTGAAGCAGAAACACTCATTGATTAGCTTGAACTTTGCGACCAACTTTGGAAGTTATATTTTAACCCACACAGCTAGCACAGCCACAACAACTTGAAGAACATGAAGAATGGCTCACTACCGGGCAAACAAACACTCGCAGAGAGAGAGACAGAGAGTAAAGAAAAAAAATCAATGATCCACACAATGATAAAAGTGCAAGGTTGGGATCTGCGCTCGGAAAAACAAACACACCGTCAATAGGGGGAGTAGGAGATGCAGTCATAAGCCACTAAATCATGCCAGGACTAAACTGTTCAACAGTGATGCAACCCTGCCCTCACTTTGCCAGGCACCAATGCACGTATTGAGTAGGACTAAAGAAAAACCTTGGATTACAGACCACTCACTAACAATCAACACGGGATAAAGTAGGCTAATTGACTATCCTTTTGGCCAACAATCAAACATCTTGCGGGACAGATACATTATGTACTCTAAACACAGCAAGGCACAGGAGGAGACCTGGTTTGAGATTTTAAGAAGAAGACTCTAACAACACGGCAGAGAAAAAGATCAGGGCTTACGTTTGTGCAGTCAGCAGCTGTTTCGGGCAGCAGACAAACATGGCTGTCTTTGTTAGCGCAGTGTGTGTGAAAAGCCCACTGTGTATTCAATGGGGACCGGATAGACAAGCTATCTGACTCTCTCTCACACACACATGCACGTACACACACAGGCTATTAGTGGTACCGACCCAGACCCATGACACGTAGTGCTAGCCCACTCTGCATTCCAGGCATGTACACATGCACTAGCCACAGTCATGTACTGTACATGTACCTGTGCGGCGCCTGTACACCCCAGTCGCATGCATTGAGTAGCGTTGCTCCACTGTTGAGACAGGCAGGCATAACAGAGTTGAATGCCCTAGGGCATACGCCAGCCAGCTAATGCTGTATGGTGTTGAGTCCTTATTTATCATGCATAGACTTCCCGTCTGTCACCATATGCACACGTTGGGCAGCCATGGATTTGTATCGTGGGTTAGTATAAATTACTTGTACATGTAAAGTTGTCACTTTGCAGGAAGAAGGGGGATTTAGGTTCTTTTCTTAATAAATTCTGGAGATAAAGCCCAGACAAAATTTTTTTTTCACTTGTTCATTGTAAATTTATGTAATCATGTTGTATCTGAGTGGCCGCTGGCATTGTAGTTAACAAATGTCATAAAAACCTCATGATATATATTCATAGCCAATTTGTCTCCTTTCGCTCTGACAAAACCGCTCCCAGTGGCAAGTCATGCTGTCTATTTTTAGCCGTTCAACAAATAGTGCATGAATTCATGGTGCTAGGGTATGGTATGATTAAACATAACACAATTGTTGGAGACACATGAATTGTTCATGAGAACACTTGTGTGAACGAATTTCGGGGGGTCAAAATTTTGACTCTTTAAAATCCAGCTGTTTTGGGTGCTACTGCGTGCTAGTCGTGATTCCTGTCGCACATGTTCCTTTGAAAACGTTTATTAGTTTAAAGCGTGTGTGGGTTCATCTGATTGGTAAATATCAATGGGCTAATTAACATTGAAAAACCACCCGCTACTGTTTGAGATTAATCAAATTACTGCAGCTTTGTCAGTGTTCCTGGGAGTTTACTTGCGAGCAATGGCAACCTATCTACCATAGCGTATACGCTTCCACCTCTCGGGCTGCACTGCCTGCAGCAAGCTAAGTGCATAGTACGGTACCGGTGCATCGCATGCAGTGTGGGGAAGTGTAGGAGGTAGTAGTAGTACATGTTCACACACGTATACCGTTCACTGAATTATAAGCACTTTCTTGGTAATATGCGCCATCTGGCTTACGGAGCAAATTTACATGCGTTGCCGTGTATGCATCGTCAATCGAACACTTTTGCGCTTCCAAGTCATCATGCGTTCATTCCAAAATGCGCCCCGTCTAGCAACGCGTGTTCCTTTTGCCCCGTGAACAAGATGGCACATATTACCGTGAAACTGCTTTTTGTCTGATTTCACAGACATAGTAATAAGCGGGAAAACTCTTCATCCAAGATGGGGACTTATTTACGGTTGGAAATACGTAGTATGCCACAAAATGTCCGCCGTGTCAAAAGTAAACAACCGGGTCTTTTTTTTCATCTTTTTTTTCAGGAACAGTGAGACGTTAAGTTAGTTTCCCTTCAACCAGACCTTTCAAATAGGATAAGTAAACTATATCAAACATACATTTTTCTGCGATTTCAGGACGATGTCCTCCTTCAAGAAAATTAGAGCTCAACTTTTGTTTTGAATGAAAATTCAGCAAACTTTAAACAACTGTTACAACTGATAATGTAATATCCAACAGAAAACCACCATCAACTGATAATGTAACAACAATTGACAGATACTGTATCACTAACTGATAATGTAACACAAAACTGACTGATAGTGTAGTACATTCTACTACACTATTGGTAAATTTTTGTTACATTATCAGTTACAGTAGTGATACAGTATGGGTGCATTTTTGTTACATTATCAGTTGGTGATAGTTGGTTGTTACATTATTACCAGTTGTAACACAGGCCACTCAAAGTGGTAGCTAAATTTAATATTGTCAGAGCAGAGCTGAAGCTACATTTATCTTGTTGTCCTTGGAAATGGCTCATACATACATGTATGTCCATACAAAACACATGTGGAGCAACTGTTCTATTACAGATCTGAGTCACTCTGTGACCATACATGTAGTTGTAACATTCGTCAGCTGCTTGAGTTTACTTTGGAGATTGCAATACACAGGGTTCGAAATTAGCTGTAGCCCGCTAGCCAAATGCTAGTCAAAACAGCGGTGGGCTAATCAAACTATTCCTTGAGTAGCCCGGCTGGCGAGTCAAAAATTATTGGGCTACGGCAAAGATGAAAGGACAGGAAGAAATAAATCATTAAATTCAGAAAGCAAACCTCATTAATTTGTGTCTAATTTTATCAACTGCTTTAAAGGGTTAAATTAGATCTGTTTATTTAAAACACTGACAAAATTGCCTCAGAATTGAGCCTGAAAATACGGCATTTTGTATTTGAGCTAAAAAAAAATGTGGGCTAGTGAAAATGCTCACGGGCTAGTTAAGAGTCTGTGTCAGTAGCCCGGCTGGCTAGTGAACAAAAAAGTTAAGGTCGAACCCTGCCGATACAGTTCCTTTGGTGCAAATGAAGTTGCCCTCATACAGGATTTCTCCCAAAAAAATGAAACGAACAGTTTGTGAGGAATTGGACTCCTAGTTTGCAATGGCAAACATTTTGAGCAGAATCAGGATGTTTTAATGAGTCTGAATGCCTTCCAAGCTTTGCCTGGAGTAAATTGTATGGCAGCTTTACAGATCCGAGTGACAAGAACTGGTTTTCGATTGTGAGTGCGGGATTCAAGATGCAAAGCCCATTGGAATGCCAGCTGACAATCGATTCTTCCGCTTCACTCAGAAACACGACCAAACCTAATCTTCTGAGTCTTTTCAACTTCTTAAAACACTTGGTGGGAAAAAAAAAAAACCAAGGACGGAGCTCGGACAGAATCGACTATACTTCTCAGAAAAACCAAGAATCCTGACACAAAACCGCACAAACAATAATAGGATCAGTTGGAGAAGTTGTGGCTAAAATCCGGTAAAAGACATAAAAGTGGCTTAAGTCGGGGAGACCTTGAAATCTAAATGGTCTTGTTTGTGGAGCGATACTCTTCCAGCGTTTTTTTGGAGAATAAAAAGAAACCTCAACCACAATAGTCCTGTCATCTGATCAGTCTGGCCATAGATTATCATGACAAAAGCAATTGCTGACAACAATGGGTGGGATCTGGCAATGCCCAGGGTCACACTACAGGTTCTGAGCCCCCTCCCCCCCCCCCCCCCAGTTGTGTAGTCGATATAATCCACCATCATTGACTTGCATTCACTTACACATTACACATCCACAGAGTAGACAATGGCCGGTCGATAATAAATACAACGAGAAAATGTAAACGTCAATATGGTTTGTTACAGATACGTGGAAATGTACAATAATGTTGCCAGTGCACTATTTAGTTCACTGTGACTACACTAGCCGAATGCATGGACTCAATAGTCACACATCAGAGTACATGTACATGTACATGTACATGTACACACACTGGATGCTTGTGTTGGTTCATGCCGGAACTACTTTTGACCTCTTGCATTATGCAAGATGTCAGCGACCCTTGTTATTATCATCAACAAGGCAGCTGACACGGGCAGGGTGACTGAATGGTTCTGCACCATGGCCCCTACATGTGAATCCTTATCATAAAAACCCAGAAATTGACCTGCCCTTGGCAAAAAGATATCATTGTCAGTGATTGAGCAAAGGGCTCCAAATTGTACATGTCCACATCAGTCTGCTGTTTCCACCCATTTTTGTTAGGACCCCCATTGTGTAAGGTCATAATTCCACTGCAAGTTCACAGTGTCAATGGAGCTGTTTATTTTACTGCCAAGCAAATATTTTGCACCATTCTCTACTCAGCAGGTCAGGAATCCAAACTCTTCCAAGGTCATTTAGGGACAACCTTAATATACCACAGGTTTCCTTGAGTGATAGCTTTTTTGAGTCATGTTTTCGCCAAACAATTGTCAGCTTACCAGAGGGACCCAGGGCCCAATTTCAAGGCTCTGCTAAGCACCCGATTTTCCGCTAACAGAGCCTCCGTCTATTTCATGGAGACCGTAAGCAGTAAGCACAGCAAAAGGCACTCTTACCTCAAGAGGAAAAATTTGCTTTTAAAACTTAGTGACGTAACAATACAAATCTCCATGCACGCGTGACCGTTAGCACATCCACACCGTGAAATAGTGCTAAAGGTTAGCACAACTGTTCTGCTAACTGTTAAGCAGCGCCGTGAAATTGGGCACTGAATATGCCTAGAAACGCCTACATAGTTTCATGTACAATGATTGTCAATACTTTTGCAATATAACACAATCAATGAGATTTTATGCAAATATTTTCTACATTCTAGAAGTCACAACCTCAGCTCCTAATTTCAAACAGGATCAATCTCGAAAAGTGATCGAAAGAATCAATTACACGAGGAAGAAATCAGCGAATGTTGAATCACAAATCATCAGTATTTGCCAACATTTGAAGTTTCAAATTTCAAAAACCTTCCATGCAAAAATCAACCCAGTGGTACAACTTCAGCTTTAAGAGGAAATTCTGTCTCCTTCATGCGCGTCAATAATAATCCGAAATCAATGCGACTCAATTCACCCAGCAGTGTCGGTCACCCGTCTCTATACCACAACATGTCTGACTTTTCACCCCCACCCCCAACCCCCCCCCCACCCAATATTTGTTACTTGTCGCATACACAGCCAAATGGAAATCATTTAAGCAGCCCAAATTGTCAAATTACCCCCTTTTTAACCTTTCCCGAATGAGGTAAACAGCTGCCTCTCAGGAACATCCTGAAAGGGAAAAAATATTAAATAAAAGCAATTCAAAATCCCTGGATGCTGCAGAGCACTTATTGCTGTTCCCATCCCAGGGTGAGAAAAAGACTGTTGTTTATATTAAAAAAAAAATTAAAAATTGAAGATGGAGTCTAGGAAGGGTCAAGGCACTATGGAGCAGGCACAGGGAAAGCAATACCGTGCCGTCTGGGTCAAGTGTGTATTTTCAGCAGTGCTGGCGTGTTTTCTATCTTTCGTGTTTTACATGGACACGTAAGTGAAGATGCTAGTACTTGCGTCTATAATTAGTCCTGCAGCCTTGGGGGGGGGGGGGGGGCATCCTGACATGTACATTTTTCGTTAACAGCACGGCGAAATAGAAGTAGTTCGTTCGGCTTGTTAAACATCCAGGTTTTATCGGCCTTGACAACAGACT